ACTAGCCCCACCTATAACACTATCCGCCCCTCCCGGCAACCCACAACCCCCCATAGGCATGGACAGACCATGGTAGAGTGTAAATTTATCGCGTATGTAAACAGAAACAAAGGATAAGCTAATTAATTTTATTACCAATTAAATGAATTGTAATGCAGTCGCTTCTCTCCAGGAAATGAAGGGAAAACCCACAAAAAAGGACATGGAATTTGGAGGCAATTCTAGAGATAATTAATGAAGAAAAGGCTCTGTAGGAAAAGAGACATCAATAGAGGTTCAATAATTGAGATATTTAGGGAGAAATTATCATTAAATTGGGAATATATATGGGACCAATCAAATCGGGTATCATTTCTGAAGAAATAATGAGCAAGTTTCTTGTAAAACTCCTGAAGTTACAGTTCAGATCTTTCCAGTTCTTTTAAAATCGTTTCTATATCAGATTTCTTTCATCAGAAAGTACTTTCAAATCACTTAAAGTCTCTTGCCTTCTTTGGAATTCTGTTCTCCAGTCTTAAAATACACACCATTTGACATTTGCTTGGCACTTTTTTCGCCCATCCCCATCCAGGGAAATTTAGTGAAAAAAGTGAGAGAAAAGAGAAAACTGAAAGAAGAAAAAAAAATGATTGCATTAATGCAATTTTAGCATCTCCGAACGAAACAGAGAAGGCAAAAAGAACTTTAGCGGGCACGTTCTGTAGCTGTATCTGGGGTCTGGGGGTCTGGGGGTCTAAGGGTCTGGGGTTTTGGGCCATCCTCTGGAGTCGTTCCCAATTGCCGGCACATGACTATGACTCCGCCAATGGCCATGCTGCAGCTGCAACAGAAGCACAATTCAACTAAATGGAAAAGGACGGGGGCGTACAAGTAGGAGTGGTGCTGTTGCTGCTGATGAAGAAATGTTGTAAAATGGAATTGCATTACACATTTTAGGTGCCATTTGTGTCCGAGGGGGATACAGACCGAAGAGCAGGAGGGGAGAGCGGAGTAAGCGGAGTGTGGCAGCCACAAAGCTGATGATGCGCAAACAAATTGGATGCCAAATGCTTGGCCCACGGAGAGGGAGAGAGAGAGTGAGCCATAATTGAGATATTTATGGTTATGGCCAATATGGATTGATGGATCCATAAGCTACTCGTAAAAGTTCTCTTTTTTACAGAAAAAAACTATAATTGGCGAAAGTTTTCACAGTGGGGTTTAAAATGTGAGTAAATTTCAAACAGAAATCGTTGTAAATTTAATGATTAACAGCAGAGCCCAAAGGCTTTAACTAATTGAAAACTTGTGGGCCCGGGAAATTTCCAATAAAGTCCAAGTTTTTTCCTTGGAATATTCCCATTTTCCTGGGGGCAAAAGCACGGGCCCTGGCATTCCTCTGTAATTAAGTTTTGTCCTAGTTTCAGGAGCATAATCAAATTAAATTCCAATAAAATTGTGTGTCGGTTCACACGCTCCATGCCACGTAGCCTTGCCACTGCCCCTCTCCTGGCTGCCGTATCAGATAATGCTGGTATTTATTTTTTTTTAGAGCAATCTCCTTTTTTATATTGCCTCTAATCCGATAAATGCTTTTTAATTGCATTTGCAACCTTATCCCAGGGACACTTGAAAATGTGTTCATGCCTGATGAGAAGAGGCAGAGAGAGGCAGGAGGAGGCGTGCAACGGGGTGGCAGATGGAAAGATGGAAAGGCGAAGGGCGAAGGGCGTGTGCAACCCTTGGCTAATTGCTTTGGTGTGAAATGTGTCGTCGAAGGACGTACAACCCCTATAAAAAAATTGAAAAAAACGGCGGTACCTCCTGCGGGAGACAAAATTGATAAAGAATGAAGGATGATGCCACCACTAATTTTTTGTTGGAAGATTAGATAAACATAAATCTTTAGAAGCAAAATAAATAGTAATTAGGATGAAAAATAAACATCAATTGAAGCTGTGAATAGAGTTCGAATGGAACATTCCCTCCATTGATCATTTAACCCCTCATTTCTCTCACTGTATCGATACGATACTCTCCAAAAGCCAAAGTTCATTCAACCGCAAGCACAGCTTAAGCTTGGCTTTGGGATAAAGCTCTGCCACCTGCTTGGCAAAGCTCGTAAGTAAGCCCTCGAAAAACCACTCGAGCTTTTTCATTCAGACGTCCGTCTCAAGAACCCACTCAAGCGCTGCCTCAGAGGCCTCCTAGCATATGTTTCTTTGCAGCTCGTAAATCCCACACACAGATGCACATACTCGTGCGTATGTATGTGTGTACATAAATATACAATAAAAAAACAAATTGCGAACACGAGACAAAATATTCGCGCGAGGAGACATGACCCTAATGACTGTGGGAATTTTTTTGTAACCGCCGTCACTGACATTGCCCCTTATTTTTTATGTGTGTGCGTGTGTGTGTGTGTAAACACAAGAGAGCAAGCTCTTAAGTTCTTGTTAAGAGTATCTTGGGCCGGAGGCATTGCCAGCCCTTAGAAAAGTGGTGTTTGAATTTTTAACCGACATTTGAGTTGGCCTTGAGCAAAGATCTTAATAAAATGCATTTATTTATTGTGAATTTTTAACTTATTTATGATTTTTCTATTCTTTATTCCAGCATTACAAGACACATACAAATTAGAACCATTTTAAGGTAAGTCTTTAGATGTTTTTTTTAACCTATTTCAAAGAGATCGAAACAAGTGCAAGAATTTACAGGAAAAAATAATAAAGACAAATAATAATAATTCCCTAATAAAACAGCCATAAATTTAGGAAATAAATCTTGAAAATCATTTCTAAACGAATCAGTAATAAATTTACAGCGAATCAACAGAAATACCAATGTTATTTCCCTTAAAATACTAAAGGATCATCGTAATAAACGATAATAAAGAAATTAAACGACCATCAAACACAAACAATTTTTTACAAGGAAATCAAGGACAAAATTATAAACGCACATAAAAATGAATAAAATCCAAATAAAATGACAAATAATTCCTACCAATTTGTATCTAAATGGTTTTTCAATTACCAAAAGTACAATTGATTTGGCAATTTAACCGTCTTCCCATTCGAGATTCCCAAACAATTTATCCGACAATAATAATTGCATTGCCTCCTTAATAACAATTACTGTCCGGGGATTGAGTTTGTTTGGATGGATTCGGGTGGGATTACTCATGCCGCTGCAGGCCTCCCCCACCGCCTCCCCCACCTCGGGCCGACGACCGACGACCGACACACATGTTTCTCTACGAGTGGCTGTTCTGTAAACCGCTCAGTGATGTTTGCATTTAGCCGCATTTTGATTGAATTTTTGATTAGGTTGCACATGCGGTTGTGCGGCTTTACCTCCAGTCGAGTCCAGCCCCATTCTGACATTGATTTCTCCTCCCAGTCACCCAGTCGCCCACTCTCCCATTGGCGTTGGCCCATTCTTCAATCTGCAATCTCCACTTTCCGTTTGCCGTTTTGCGGCTTTGTCTGGGTTTTATCTTTTGTCTGTTCATTGAAGGAAGCAGTGCTGTGGGAGTACCTACGAGTACCTGCAGTGGGAGTGGGTGTGTCTGCGATATGGTATTAAGTTCTTTCTATTTCTTTTTTTTTGCAACCTTTGCAGAAATTTGTTGTTTCATTTGAAATGATAATAGTATACGACTTTGAGTACATACATAAATGCTTATATACTAGTGTATACATACATATGTTTTCATTTTATACCCTCTGCTCTGCTCTGCTCTAAATATTCTTGGTAGCATTATTTATATGCGTTTTTACCTGACTTTCTTGGGTCTACCTGGCTCTCCAGATTCGTTGCATTGCAATTTTTCGCACGTTCCAATGTTATTCTCTTCTCCCTCTTTAATCTCTCTCACACACACACACATACACACACGCTTAGGAAATGTATCTAACTCTGCGTTGGTTCTCTTTTTTTATCTAGGTTTCTCTTAGGCCGCGCTCTTTGAGCAAATAACGACCTTGTCTCTTTCACTCGCGCTTCTTTCGCTCTCTCCCTCTCTCTCTCTCTGTCGACCGATACCATCGATCATTGGCATTGTTGTCACGGAATTTAGGTTGGGCCACTTATACGTATAGATAAGTTCAATTCAATGATTACCCGTACATTGATTATTGTTTAGTTAAACAGTTTTCCTGACATTCTTTGTTTTTCTGACATTTCATAACCATCTTACGATCCACTGCATGGAGTCGCCATAACTCTCTTTGGCGCGGCGGAGCGTCACTCTCTTGAGTCCACAATCACTTCCACAGCACACGCTCCCTTTGGACGAAAAAACAACAACGACAAAAAAAAAACTGGCAGCTGCAGAACTCAGGAACCAACAACTGGTTTCCGGTGCTCTACAATCGCGTGCATGGGGTACATGGGTTACTGTTACACTCGTAATCCTGGATCATATTAGATCTCTGGCTTACTAAGCAAACAGCTTAAATATTTCGCTGGTCTTTTCTGCAGAATTGCAGACCTGATGCCAGGTTTTCCCAGAAGTGCTTAACCGCACATCCCACCTACTGATTATCCCATATCCAAGCCGTAGATCTTCGGAAGCAGCGCATCTGTGATTCTACCTAACCCTCGTTTAGTGGTCGCTCTTTTGCCTCGTTCTACTACAAAAACCAACGCTGCTGCACACACGGCCATGGCCATGGGCGTAGTTAAGATCGCCACAAAGAGGGAATCCATCCCTCTAATCACCACTATTTATCAGAGAATACCTAACGCTCTTCTTGGACTCAGATTCGTGCAGCCCCTCTCTTCATCTACGCCCCTGCGTGTCGCAGTTTTATCATTGCCGTCACCGTTGTTGGTAGTAAATAAGACAGGCACGAACACGAACACGCACACAGATACAACCCCCCTGCAACAGCTGTCGCTCGCTCGGCTCTCTTCTGTCGCTCTTTGGCCGCTCTATCCGCCGAGTCTCGTTCGCCTGTACAGTAGAGCAATTTGAGCCGCCGCTGTTTCTCAAAAACCGTTGCCCCGGACAAACGTGTCGTTCCGTTCCGTTCCGCAGTCTCTCAAGCTTCGATGTGCGCGTGAAGGGGGGGTCGCGAACCACAGTTATTTGTTAGTTAGTCGCGAGTGCTTGGCCAGATCTCAGACCAGAGATTCCACCATTCAATCCATCCATCCATCCATACATTCGGTCCAGGTTCAGTCAGGGAGCGTCTTCTGGGGGAGTCGATAATCGGTATTTATCGTTTTTTTGCGCGATTTTCCCCTCACATTCCGTACCGCACCGCGTTGGGGATTGGTGTATTTGTGGAGTGTTTTCTTGGAATCCAACGCCTTTTGGAGGAGTGCACAGAAATTTATTTAAGAAACGTTTGCAAAAAACAAAAAAAAATCCACTCAAAAAAGCGACAAAAATACAAGTTATATAAGGCCGAAACCGGATTTATCATTCAATACGACTGTGCGGCATATATTATACGAATCGACTGTGTTACGAGTATAAATATATATGTGTGCATATGTGAGCAAAACAAAAACTGAACAACAGAACTCTTGGATATACAACAATAACCCATTCTCCGATCCAACCTCAACCACAACCGATATATACGTAAATGGTAAATTTTTAATCACAACAAAGCAGAAACAACCTCTTGTAAAACGAGTTTTTTTGTGTGAAATACAATTTGCATAAAGATTTTGTTGTTGCTTTGACATTTTGCAAAACACACAAAATAAATATTTGGAATTTTTGTACAACTTTCTGTTTTGGCTTTTGACGTTTTCAAAGACTTGCAGGAAACTATGGAACTACTATATTTACACATTTCTGCAGCTGTTTAAACGCAACACAGATCTAGATCTGTGTGATCACAGGTGTGTCTTTGTCTTTACAGAAACTACCACATCTTAATGGGAATATCATTATTAGGATCCCCATTAATTAGCCAGCAAATGATATTCCAATATGGAATGGAATATTGGGTAATTTGCACTTTGAAACTGGCAATTCGGGAGTGGGGATGCAATTAGCAGGTTGTTTCTACATCAAATGAGTGGAGGAGAAGCCATCTACAGTTCCGACTGACTGATCTCTCCCTCTCTCTCGCTCTCTCTCTCTCACGACTGCGATGATGAATCATTAATTTTTGCATGACTAAAACCGAGGTTTTCTATAGGATAAACAATATAATAAACAATAGGGAGAGCCGCGAGGTTGACAAATTAATGGATAAACAAATGCAAAATATAATACCCTATCAAATACTTTCATTGGAGATAACTTTGTTTCTTTAGTATCTCCTTTCTTTTTTGTTTTTGATAAAACAGTAATTTATTTTAATGTATACTTTGTGGAAAATTGTTTCGACTGTCAACTGCATAAATTACGAGGGAAAACAAATGGGGAAAATGGGGGAAAACAGGGTGGAACAATTTCCCCATTGAAATGAGTAATGAATTGGCCAAGAAGAGTGAGAACAAACGCTCGAGTCGGGCGAGAGTGGGTGAAAATAAATTATAATTACATTGTAATTAAATGCAAACTTTGGCCCCAAAGCGAAAGCCCCACACAAAAGGGAAAAATGCCAGTGTTCTTGCAGATCTCAGAGATAGACAACCGAAGAGATCCAAAGGTTTTCCCTGATTACACATGAAATAAATCTCGTCTTCAGTTCATAAAAAACTTCACACAAAACAGCACAAAAAAACCTATTCAGAAACATTCCACAGAAGAGACAAAAAAAGAGAGAGAGAGAGAGAGAGAGAGAGAGAGAGAAAAACTGGTAACAAGACAAGAGGCAAAAAAGTAAGAACATAATGCTTTATGGGTTGGGTGCAGCAGCAGCAGCAGCGGAGAGAGGAGGATAGATGGTTGGGGCAACCGGTTCTTCAGGGGCTGGCTGCCACTCCACACTCTACTCCACCAACATTTTCTCACATGCCTTTCGATTATGCCAAAGCGACTGACTGCATTCTTTGAGTCGCGACTCGCGGACTCTCTGGCTCGGCTTCGGACTCCAGTGAGCGGCTTTCGCTAAACTGTTGGCTAAAACCCGACCGACCCGAGCTCCAGCTCCATCTCATCCTTCCACCCATCCTCCAGATACAAGTTCAACAAACAGCAGAGAGATATACGAGACAGAGAGAGAGAGAGGAGAGATCTGCTGCTGTGGCTGCATAAAACTTTAATTTCATGGAATTTCCTTTCTATTTTTATGCAGCCACGCAGATGATTAACCAGAGAGGAGGAGGCAGCGGCTGAGGCAGAGCCACTCAAGTCAAGAACACGGGAACAAGTCCAAGACCAGCTCCAAGTCCAAGTCATTGCTGCAACGTCTTGGCCATTAACTTGGCAACGCGTCTGGGGGGCCAGGCATCTATTCCTTGGATTCATTCTGCTTCTAAGGCAGCAAAAAGGAAATTACAAATGCAACAAAAATTGGATAATTATGCGACGTAAACGTTTTGCCATTAAGTCTGCGATTAGTAAGCAGATTTCCCATAGAAAATCCTGCATTTAATGATGATGTGCCCCATCAAGACATGAAATGAAATCTCCCCTTTGTAAACTCTGCTGTAGACAGCAATTGAGTTAAGTAAAGGACTTGGCAAAGTTCTATTAACTTTTTCATCATTCTTGACACCTTTCGTGGCTGTCCTCTCTCTGTCAATAGTTAGCCAGAGCCTTGGTCATGCCCCAAGACTCCTCCTCTAGTGCCTCTTGCACATTTCATATTAATGCCAAAAAGTTTTCCATGCCCAACACGCAGGCAAAATGGTAATAACTTGGCCTTGAGTTGGCCATTACAGAGTGTGGAGTACAGAGCCATAAAAGCCGCAGAAGAACAGCCTGAATGTCAAAGGGCATGTACGAGTAGTAAAGCAGGTTTTTATTCCTCTGAATTTTACCTGCACCGAAGATGGACTTCAATTTCCGTTCTGTCAGTGGTTTTAGGCATGAAATAAGAAGATTATTTATTGATTTTCTTGAATATTCTTTGAAGAAAGGCTTTCCAGTGGGGATTTATGCCTCGAAGCTTTCACCATTCGGAGTCTGTATTCCCCCTTAATGGCTTTGTCTATTTAGCTCTGATATCATCATCATTATAGCTGTTTCCATGGCTGATTGGGGGCTCTATTCGAGTAGAAGAGTGGAGCCACTTCTTTGGGCAAACACTTGCCACACCTGTTCACATTTGCCCCGCCCCCTCCAGCCCTCCTGAGAGGAAAGTAGGGGCATTCTGCGCCATGTAACTTGTTACTTGTGTGCCCCCCGCCCGCACACTCCTCCACATACACTGCAAGGGCTTCCTGAATATGTATATTCGCTGTATATTTAGTTCTGTCTATCGATTATTTCCCTGCCAGTATTTGCAGTCTACTTTCGGGCGCTGGCACCCCGGAAATTGCCACAGCAATTGGCCAACATTCACAGCTGTTCTGTTCCATCGAATGTGTGGAAAATGTGTGTGTGTGTGGGGGGGGGGTGTGTGGGGAAAATGTTTATTTGTGTCAAATAAACAGTACAACGGAAAACTGTCATGAAGAGAAAACGTAACTTTGTTACAGTTTTGTGGGCCATTAAATTGATTTGCGAGTACCCGCGATTCGCCCAATTTTCTATCAAAAAACCCAACGATTAACTATGACAATCAGAGCAGAGAACCAGATTATACGCCGAGAGACACAGAGAGAGAGAGAGACCTTAGTTAGAGAATTTGTTAAGCTTCGTTGGCCACACGTTCTCGAACCCAGTGATGACCTTTACAGCTATAAATCGGTTAGATAACTATCTGAACTTCAGACGTAAGCATTCAAAAACTTAGTCCCATTCTCTGTTGATGTCACGTAGCTTTCCAGACAACTTTGTCGACAAACAAAGGTATCTGCCGTCTCTCTGGACTTTTGATTTCTTATCATACTATTATACTAGGAAAAAAACCCAAAGAACCCTTCAACTAAGGCCGTGTTTATCCACGTCTCAAGGGGAAATATATCTAACATTTTGTGTACTTTGGTTACATGAGGATTCCGTGAAGAATCTTGGATAAAAGTGGCTCCAATCCTCAACTAAAGTCCGAGAATATCTCTTGGACTAGTCTTATATGTACGTGTGTATATTTCTCGAATAAATCACATTAAAAAAATTGTAAGTTTTCTTGTGCATTTCCCAGAATATGCTACGCGACTGCAAGGAATGTCAGAACTCTTATCATGAATCCATTATGAATAATGTATTATGTGATTTTCTTCTTCTTTTGGTTTTTTCTTCTTGTTTTTCTTTTCCAATTTTCTTCTTGTTTGTCTTTCAATTGAATCTTGCATGAATTAAAAGCTTTAACACTCGAGAAAACTTGTTCTTTGAAGAAGAAACAAGTTCCCCACTTCCACTCTTCCACTCCACTGGCAGTGAAAAATATTTGATAATATTTCGTTCGTTATGTATGCCATGGAGCGCATGGAGCTCTGTGAGTCATAACAAATCATTTGCATAATTCGCAAAAAATACCAGAAAATACAGAAAAATATATTTGTCGAGAGCTAAAGAGAGAACTTCCTCTGAGATCGATACCTAATTTGGTTTGCATCTGCTTCGAAAACAAACAAAGGATCAGACACGAACCACAAAAAGGTTCCTTCTTCTTTTTTTTTTTCTACCTGAAAATCGTGGCAAATCCAAGTGACTTTTGTTGTGGATGGAGGCAGCCGGAGACGGCAGACGGTTCCACACTTAACAAGGCTCGGGGACCTCCTCCTCCAACGCCGACTCCGATTCGAACAGAGTCGAAGAGAGTCCTGGTCTTGCTCCTTAGCCACGTGCAGCAGTGGAACATATGTCCTTTGGCAGGAGTAGGGGCTAGCAGAACAACAACAACAACTGCTGGCTGGCTGGCTGGTTGTTTGGCAGCCGGCATCCATCGAAGCGACAGATGCAAACAATTTTCGAAAAATATACAGAACCAGAAACCCGCTGAAAATTGAGTTTCCTTCCATTCCGTTTGCATGTCTCGCGTGTCTGTGTGTGTGTCGACGACAGGATGGTGTTCTACTACCACTTATACGATTACCTCTAGAATCCAGGATATATATGTACATATACAGAATGTCTGTGTGTGTTTCCCTTGTTTCTACACGCGTTCCATGCGTTTATTCTTTTGTTTTCATGCGTTTTGTGACTCCTTTTTCAACTTCCGTTCGGTTCGTTTTTGAGGTTTCTTTCAAGTGTTTTCTTGTTGTTTTTTTTTTGGGGGGAAAGGAAAGGGATGTGGTTGAGAGCGAGCTAGGGATGTGTTTATAACAAAATTTATTGGTTTATTAGCTCCCAATCGGAGACCAATCCGTATTGAAAGGTTTGTCTTTTGTTTAAACTGTACTTAGGAGCAATTTTCAGAGAAATTTTAGCTATACTTTTCACAAACTTTTCTATAATCTTGGTGGGAAAGTGTCACCCATCTTTAGGTACTATTTAACCATTCCAAAATAAATGTTCCCATGAAAAGAAAGTAGGTAAAACGGCGACCCATCTACAGACGCTCCAATCTCTTCTTTTACTTTGTTCGATCTTGAGATCCTTCCGACATTTCTTAACTGATTTTGAATACCTCATCTTTTCCAG